GAATGTCCACACCTTTATCTCCACAGTTCTGTCAGGCGTCCGTGGCTGCTCTGATCCTTCCCCTGCTTGGTCTCACCCAAGATGGCGGCTCCTGGAGCACCTGAGTGTCTTGAATTAGAAAGTAATGGATTTCTTGCTTCTGCTACAAATCCCCCTAGCTGTATGCCTTCCAACCTTCTAAATATTCCTTTATATGTGGTTCAGAGTTCTGGCACCATCCCGAGCCTGATTGGTCTGGTATTCTGTGTTGTTGCCAGCGGAGCTCCTCACTGCACGTCTACCTGAGCCGCCATCTTGTTTGTTCTCAACCATCGCCTTTTGAAGAGTACAGATGTCTCTCACATTGAATTTGTTTTATTGTAATTTGATCTAAATAAAATCACTTTATGAACATATTATCAAAACCATATTCCTATATTGATATATAGATTATTAATTTAATTGCTGCATAATAATCCACTACTTGAAAATGCTATTTAACCAATCCCTTGTTAAAGTGTATTTGGCTTATTTCAAGTTTTCTACAGTATAAGCCACGTAACCATTGTTGTTGTTGTTAAGTGTTGTCAAGTCAGTTCCAACCCACAGCGACCCTGTATAGGATTTCCAAGGAGCAGCTGGTGAGATTGAATCACTGACCTTGTGGTTTCAACCGACTTTGCAGTCTAGTGCATTAACCCACAGCGTCACACTGGGACTCCATACTTAACCATTAGTAGCTGTGTATTTTTTTAGGTTTATCTGAACTAGAATTGCTGTATATGCCAATAAAAAATTTTGATACTATTGCCAAATTGCCATCCCAAATGATGAAAATTACTTACAATTCCACCAACAATACATAAGAATGTGCATTTCCTCACATCAGCACTGGGTATTTTCACTATTTTTATTCTTAGTCAGTCAGGCAAAGAAAAGATTTATTTCATTATCACTGGGGCTAAGTATTTTTTCATGTGCTTATGTGCATGTCTGAATTTCTTTTGTGATTTGTCATTGCCCATTTTTCTATTAGGTATTTTCTGTTTTTTAAATTGATTTGTTAGCTCATTCTTTGGCATCTTAATCTTGAAGGAAAGTTACATTATGCATTCATGTAAATCCCTGTTAAAATGAATCTTTCTATATTTTTACATGAAATTCAGTTCCCTGAGAAAACATCAAAAATATTTTAAATGAAAATATAGACATGCAAAAGATGTTGATTGGAATGAGAGAGCTTTATATCTATTAAAAAACCAACATTTATGAGGGTGTGGAAAAAAATTATAATCCTGTTTATTATATTCGGGTAACTTTTTTATTTCCTGAAGTAAAGACATTATGATCTCTCTCTTTTTCTTTGGTTACTTCCTGAAGTGAGTAAAGAATTTATGGTCACTTTCTTTTTATTTAAACCACTTCCTGGAGTAAGGAATTTATGATAACTTTCTTTTTCCTTAAACTACTTCCTGGAGTAAGGAGCTCTGGTAGCGTAGTGGTTACGACTTGGGCTGTGAACCGCAAGGTCAGCAGTTTGAAACTACCAGCTGCTCCGCGGGAGAAAGATGAGGCTTTCTACTCCCGTGAAGATTTACACCCTCGGAAACCCTGTACAGGGTCGCTATGAGTCGGTTCCGACTCCATGGCACATAACAACAACAACAACAACTTCCTGGAGTAAAGACTGACCCCTCTCTTCTTTTCCTAAAGTAGGAACGTGCGCCTTAAAAATTTGAACTAGCCAACCGAGTAAGGGAATAGATTGTGCGGTCAAAACCCTAGCCAATAGGGTGAGACACAGCCTTGAGACTTGCGTCAGGGATTAAAAACCCGAGTGGACTGCCCACTCAGTGTGCTCGCTAGCCTGTTCGTGTATGTACGGCTATGCGCACGCACCCTCTTGCAAGAGTAAATTTTACTTTGCCAAAGTAATTTAGTCTCACCGAGTGTCTTTTATGCGGGATTCATTTCTAACAAGGGTAAGTCAAAAACTATTGCTACTAGGGACCAGTTCAACATGAATGAGCTTATTCCAAATGTGTTTAAACATGTCTCTGTGATCAGTGGATGACGGCAGGTAAGTTCTCTCAGTAATACACTTAAGTTAGTCTTCTTAGGGTGCCTAAAAAACAAAAGGCCCAATTCTGAGGGGATCTGCTGAGCCAGTTAAATATAAGTGGAGAGGGTCAGCTCAGAAGGTTATAGTGATGATTTTTTGGAATTCCATAGAGGTAACTGATAGATGTTCTAGAAGGACACAGGAAAATCATGGGTGATTATTATGAAGTGTTAAGAGAAAACGAAGAGCTGCATTGGTGAGAAAAAGGGCAAGAAAGTTGTACTGCAGACCTTTCCCATTACGACAGCGCATGTGTACGTTCTTCAAGGGGAGCCAGAAGATTTCACTGTGAAACCTTACCCCATCCACCCTACAGCTTCAACCTTGCTTCTTTAGATTTTTGTTCCTCAAACTTGAAGAACACTGAAAATGAACATGATTTGAGTCCTTCGAGTATGTCCGAACTGTCATTTTGACGTGGCGCAAGCAGAAAAGCACAGAATTCTTTTGGGAAGGGTTAGAGAGAGGGAGATCCCATCTTCAGAAGTGTGGAGAAAATGTGGAAAACCAATAGCGTCACACTATTGGAACCAATCATCCATTCCCCCCCACAGCACTCTGTACTCATCTGGGCTCCGTAATTCATTATAATGGCCACACAGAATTCATACTCACAACTATGGGATTTACTAGGGAAGTTAACAAGTTACAATTTAGGGTCAGAAATGCTCAGGGCACAGTTCTCTCAGTCTGGGCAGCCACTCCTCTGTTCAGATAATGTTACATAGCTCTTTGAGGCCTGCAGATAAATGCCCACAGGACACACCTAGCCACAAAAAGCCTCAGCTCTAGCTCCAAGGGTCAACAAACCTAGCTCCCTCACTTATGTGCCTGGAGACACCCCACTCTCTGCAAGCAAGTCTCCTACCCAAAGTCACTCGTTGTGGACCTTCCCTGTAGGAGGGAAAGTCCAATGCTCTGTGTCCAGGTTCTGCTGCAGCTGTTCCTCTGTCACTCCTCCAGTGTCACACCTTTCTGTCCCTGGGTTGAAGGAGTTCAATGTGCAGGGATCTCAGGGTCCAAACGGTACTCTCTACTTCTGGCTCTTGCTTCTAGATGGTAGTAAGATCCAGACCCCCATCCCCTGTTTCTGAGAGGACTCATTTTACACCCAGCAGGATGTCAATGGGACCAATCACAATCAGTCCTGTTAACAATCACTTACAACTGAATCACATAATCAGTCAGCATCTTCTTCTGGGAGTTTAATGTTTTAGAAAAAAACATCAAATAATTCACTGCACAATACACATTTTGATATTTTTATTTCATAAAGCTTTCTACCATTTTGTAGCCGTCATCTATTAGGTAAGCGTACTCAGTTTTCAGGTTAAATCATATTTTAGATTCGCAAGGGAAATTTGAATCTGGGAAATAAGGATTGCACTCATATAGGAAGCTTCCTTTCCTTAATTGCAAAACTTACAGAAACAGAAGCAAAAAAATCCATGTGTCTATTTTAATTTATATTTGGTGCAAAGTTCAAATCTCATGATGAAATATGTCCATGAGAAAATTTATAGTATTTATTGTATGCAAGAACCTTTGTCAGTACAATAAATCATTAACAAATCCTCTTACTTCTCACTTTTTAAATAATCAAATCCATAATTAACTAATCACATTCAATAATTACTGAAAGCCAAATACTCGGGGTAGATACATATACTATGCTCTTAAGGAGCACACGAGCCAGCCTGGAAACAATGCAAAAACAATGCAAAGCCTTGTAACATTGGATTGGTTAGAAAGGCTTCATGGAAAAAGTGAGATTTGAGTTGAGTCTGGAAAGTTGGCAAGATCTGCACAGGTGGACCGAGGGGAGACACTATGGAATTTAAGGCAAGGTGTTGAGAGGACGAAGGCTGATTAAGAACGTGTGCATGCTGAGGCGTGTTGAGGAGGTGCGGCTGACCCTGCAGGTGCTGTGGTGGGCAGGAGCCAAATGGTGATGGTATGCAGTAAAGCTGTATCCCATGCCTAGCCATAATGGAGCCTGGGGCAAAAGGAAACATCACTAATATTGATTCTGTCTTCATTTAAAATTTGGTATTTTATTCCTCACAGATATTTTTATACTCATTTTTATTTTAAAACTATTAAATTCATATTATTTATTTTTATTACTGCCTTATTGTTTGGCACCCCTTTAAATTCTGTTCATAAGGCAAGTACTTCACCCCATTACCCTCATCCAACCTTGTATTCTACTTGTATTTCTCAAGTATTTGGTGGTAGGGACAGGGAATTCATTTTTATTATGATTTACTCACGTTCTCATACTATAAATGTCCTTTAGCTAGCAGACAGTATTTAATAAAAACAATGAAGACAAAGAAATTCGAATTAGGAGATTCATCTGGAATTTTTCAGCCTGGCTTCTTTCTAAGTTAACATTTGAGGGGAATAAGTCTGCTGCAGTATATGCAGTGGCCGCAGGAAAGCGCTGCTTGCCCTAAGTGGGTGAGACATCACTGGGGGGTCTCGGAGGCTGCTCTCTAACTGGAGAAAGTCTGGCACAACTCAGCTGCTGCAGTCAAATGGACTCTAATGCATGGCCTGGCCACAGCCCACATAAAACAAACCCCTCTGACTCTGCTCACTGGGCCACAGTGCTTACCACAGGACTGTGGCACAAAAGGCAATGGGAGATTTAAAAACTCCATGAATGTCTCAGGGCTACTTATATCCAGGAGAAGAGGTGGTGTCTGACACAAATTGTATTATTAGTACATCTAAAAATGTAAAGTTTGAAAAACTCTATTGCTCATCAGTGCACTGCAGTGACTAAGGAAAGATGATTTTGAGCCAGAAAAGTCGATTTGAGTTAGCAACACTCTCAGGAAAGGCCTAGGGGCGGGTGGAAAGTGTGAGCTGCTATCACCAGGTCATTTCCTCGTCATCTGATGTGGACCTCCCAGTTAGTGTTGATGCTCAGTGAGAGCGTCTTCACGCTCAGGGTGGACGTTTGGGCACTGTATGTAAAAGCCACAGGCTGATCCTCCCCATCTAAACAGCAAGACAATAAAAAAGGAAAAGTCTGATGAATACTTAGGAGGGAACAATCTTTTCTTTGAATTGGAAATGTTTTCTAATCACATCATAAAGCTCTATGTCCCACTTTCAAGAACCCAAATTTATAGTACTTTAAACCATGGATTTCCAATAATTTTTAAAACATGGAACACTTCATAGCAAAGTGATCTGTCCCAGAACTCAGTAGGTTGGGAGGGATATAAATTCCAGCCCATGTCTTTTAATGAACTCCATAAACACTGTTAAGATTCTCCAGAACTTCATGCTTTTTTCAGTTCAGAAAAGCTAAAATATTATTTTAAGCCCCAAATAATTGTACTTAAGAAATTATTTATGGCTCATAATGAGCAGAAAGATCAATTCATGAAGAGAGCACACCCAAGACTCATAGGTGTAATTTCACCATAAAGAAGAGAGTTAGCTTGACCTAAGCACATTACATGAGTTGTGGGACTAATCATCTCGTCACTGGAGATGCTTCTATGCTAATAAGAACTAATGATGACGTTAGAATAGCCTGCTTTCTTCTCACCAGTTGAGTGGGTGGTCACAGTAGAAGGCTGCTTCCTGACACCTAGGATCAAGATCTGCTCCACCACACACTTGCTGGGATAATGACCCCTCTTGTCAGCACAGCTGGAAAGATACGTATGATATTAGGAGGCAGGGAATGGGGGTTTGGACTAGTCACTAAGTCATATCGTTAAAATAAAACCTGTCTTCTTTTAATAAGCTGTTTGGAGAGAAATCACTGAAGAACAAAAGTGACATGAGCAATGCAATCAAGTTGTAAGAAATCAGAAACTTAATGAATTGTTGAATGAGATTAATGGAAGTTTACATTGAGTCCTTTTTTTATATTTTACAGAGAGAAGGAGAAATGAAGATGGAGATAATAAAAAAGGGGCATTCATGGTGAAATGACTGAAAATACCTCACAAACAATCTCCACCATTCATTTCCTGAAAAACATTGGACTGCTAACTGCAAGTCTGGCATTTCAAACCCACCAGCCACTCCTTGGAAACTGTATATAAGGTTACTATGAGTTGGACCCAACTCGATGGCTTTTAGCAACAACAAAACATCAGCTGTGTATTTGAAGATGCAAACAAGACAGCAAAATTTATCTAAAAAAACACATGACTTCTTTACTGGCATTACCTATTGATCAAAACACCTGAACAGAATGAAAACTTCCTGTGTACGAACTGTTTCTGGTGTGAATACTGGAATGAATGTCCATCGTCAAGATATAACTCACCAACCGCAGAACCCTGGAGAGTGAATCACAGGAAGAGCATGTGCTTATAAAGGCTTTCAAGGAAGCAAGAGAATAAAGACATTTGTGAGAAATTATACAAAGTAGTTATATATCATACAAATACAGGTATATGCATTGAATACTCAATCTATCCTGGCTAGTCATACACTAGAGGAACACAAAGAGCTAGGCCTTTTTGAAATAAATATAAACTGCAAAGTATGGTTAGTGGCAGAGGTGGTGTCTCTGAAAATACTATCTCAGAATTAGATCAACATCTGAAGTCCCTATCTCTGACAGGAAGATCACTACTTTTACACATGCAAAAGGCTACCACTGTAAAGAGAGGAATAACAAATGAGATGTTTGTAAAGTTACCAAATTTCCCAAATACCTTGGAGTTTAGAGCTACTCGGAGAGCATAGGGGGCCTCAGCCATCCAGCCAGTGGATTTTCCTATTGTTGTCTTTAAGGGTACCACACTCCCACCTCGTTGAAACACTGGTATCTAAAACAGAACAACACTTCTCAGGAGGTATAGTCACATAAGGAGATGTCAAAGTAGAATTTAAAAAATTTATGAGCACAAGACTCATAGTTACATCTTTATAAGCACAAATGAGGTCAAAATAAATTTGTGGGCACAGAGCTAGCATTTCCTAATATGACAACCTTGACATTTGAAGAAAAAGACTTCAAGCCCTAAAACACGTAAACTCTTTAGTTACTAGTGAACTGTCTCATTTTCATCAACATATTATCTCTATTTCTATTGTTGTTGTTGTTAAGTGCCGTCGAGTCGGTTCCAACTCATAGTGACCCTGTACAGGGTTTCCGAGGCTATAAATCTTTACGGGAGCATAAAGCCTCCTCTTTCTCGCGCGGAACAGCTGGTAGTTTCGAACTGCTGACCTTGCGGTTCGCAGCCCGATTCGTAACCACTACGCTACCAGAGCTCCTTTTCTATAGTAGGTTGAAAACTTGCATGGTGGCCTGCCATATCCTGAGCCCTGGGACCTCTGGATGTGACCTGATTTGACAGAAGAGTTTTCGCCAATGTAATCAAGGATCTCCAAATAAGATCATCTTGGATTACTCAGGTGGGTCCTAAATCCAATGACAAATGTCCTTATTAGAAAACACGAGAAGTCTGACACAGGGATGTGAAGGACATGTGAAGACAGAGGCAGAGACTGGAGCTCTGCAGTCACAAGTCAGGAAACTCCTGGAGCCACCAGCAGCTAGAACTGACCAGGAGCGCTGTGTGGAGTCCTGGTGTGGCGCTGTAGGGTAAGCACTGAGTGCTAACCACAGGATAGACGAGAGAGCACAGTGCTGCCAGATTTTGTACTTTAAGCTTCCAGAACAGTGAGAGAACAAACTTCTGTCGTTTAAAATGACTTAACTGGTGGTGATTTGTTATCCAGCCACAGGAAATAAATACAATGCCTTTACTGTTTCTTCTTTTAAGTGATGAACTCTATTTTATCTATCCTATAAGTGGCCTTTCCTATTTTGTGTTTTGTAATTTTCCTATTCAATATTAACTGTTGTTGTTGTTAAGTGCCGTAGAGTTGATTCTGACCCATAGCGATCCTGAATAGGGTTTCCAGGAAGCAGCTGGTGAACTTAAAGTGCCGACCTTGCAGTTCAAACGGCTTTGCAGTCTGGAGCATTAACCCACAGTGCCACACCAGGACTCCATTCAATATTAATACACATGTTTATTTCTAGAACTTTGCTAAAGAGTGAATTTTTCTACCTGTGTAAGTAGTCCCAGATGTGTGTGCATGAGTTTATAAGAGATGGTGGTTTCTTGGTTAGGGGAGATGGCTTTTGTCTTTACTCACTGAAGCCTATCACTTTTCTTTGTTCCTTTCTTCTCTGGATCACCAGAATGACTGTCTCAGCTCTGAGGGCAAATATGTGAAACTGCTTCTCTTCTAGAAGCTACTACTTTGTTGTTGTTGGTAAGTGCCAGGGAGTAGGTTCCCACCCACAGCAACTCTGTAAAGTATTTCTGGGGAGTGGCTGGTGAGTTTGAATTGCCATCCTTGTGGTTAGCAGTCCAGTAATTATCCCCACCAAGATTCCACTTTAAGTGATTCTATAACAAGGCTGTAGGTACCACCCAGGCATTAGGACTCTGGGTGTTGGCAGTTCAAACCCACCTAGTGGTGCTTTTATCAAGACTACAGCCAAGAAAACCCTAAGGGGCAGTTCTAATCTGTATCACGTGGGTTCACCATGAGTCAGCACCAACTCAACGTCAATGGCTAGCTTTTTTTAGGCCTGCTTTCTGGAGTGGCATTCCCAGAAGGAGAAGTTCCTGTAGGTTTTTTATTTTCCACACAAATACCCTATAAGGAAGCTGCCTGCGTCACATTAGGGCTTGTATGCTGGCAGTATAGGCAAGGGATACATATATGAAGTTGGAGTGAGGGCTTAATAGTTAAGATGTCCACTTTCTACTTGACTTCCAGTTGGCAGCAAGCAGTAAAGCACACCTTTTTCCCTACCTCCACCTCAAATGGGCCTATCTTTCTCTTCCTTTTTATTTTTCTTTGAAGAACGAGGCAGTAAAGTTAGAGTGGAATGGGCTCTGGAGTGCAACCCCAAACAACTTGATTCTTGTCTCAGTTCTGCCACAATCTAGTGGGGGCATGTAATTTAACTTTTCTGAACCCAATTTCTTCCCTTGTAACTGTGGGGGGATTACTGGAGATGATGAAGTTCTCTTCTAGATCTTAAGTTGACACCTGAGATAGCTTTCTTTATAATGGCATTCAGATGGCTGCTGCTGTTGCTTTATGAAAGTAGTCATGGACTCATCTTCACACTGTTAAAGCCTGTGCTTGTGATTGTGCTGCAGGGGAAGTCCTCTTTAGAAACTCCGTCAGTCTGGACAGGCCACTTTGAGTCTAACATGGTAACTGGTAACATTCTCTGGGGCTTAGAGGCCCAGGGCTACAATGGGAAACTCATGGTTTTTGACATGGTTGTGTAAAAGAGCATTCTGTGTGGCATGTGTGATGACCACCATGTTTTCAGTGCTATTATTTTTCTCAGACATATATATGTAAATATATGGGGAAGAGTTGTGTTTCATACTGTAAAATCTGAGTATATGTGATCTCATGCCATGTAATTCATCCATTTTAAGTCTATAATTCAATGGCTTTTGGTGTATTTACAGTTAAGCAATCATCACCACAATCAATTTAAAATACATTTATTAACCCCCAAAGAAACTCTGTACCCATCAACAGTCACTCCTCATTCCTCCACAAGAACTCCCTCTGCTCCAGTCCCGGGCAGCTACAAATTTCTTTTCTGTCTTTATATGTCTGTAGCACACTCACATTCTTGGCCCTTTCTACATAAGAGCAGTAGGTAAAGAAGACTAAAAATCTGAAAATAACTTACAGTGTCCAAAGCTACTGGGATCTTCACACTGCATGCTCCGTCCCAATGAGCAAATGTCTTACAGTCATACCAGACCTAAAATGGTAAGTATATGGCCAATGAAAGAGTATATGAGCAATTCTGCTTCCAATTTCATTAAGCAGTAAAAATCTACTCATCTGGACTTCGAATAATCAAAAAGCTAAAATCAGTATTATATATCTTCAGGAAGACTATATGCCAAGATCCCAAAGGACCAACTAAGTACTGTGACTTACTTTTGATTAAAAGGCTGTCCATTTGTTCATTCATTTATTCAAAGATTATTTATTGAACAACCTACTAAATGCCAGGCACCGGTCATGTACGAGTAAACAAAAAAGACACAGTTTCTGCCATCATAGCAGATGGCTTATCAACACTTTATGCTTCTAGCAGGAGATGACAGAAAATTTGAGGGAATAAAAAGGAGGAAGGTATATTGCAGTTATTTAACTTACAAAGGAGACAGGATAAAAGGAAAGTGTCAGAGAAGGAAAGCAACCTCCTGAGAGAAAGGCAAATGGAAACTTGGAGCTACTCTCATCCCATCATTTTGTTTTTCAGAGGACGACTCAAGGATAAGGTTCAAACGCTTATCTAGGATCCCTGTCAAGACTGCTTAATTGCTGAAGTACAAAAAAGGTTCCACCAAGTAATCTGATAAAATAAACTCTTAAGACATCAACAGGAAGCAGCAGGGAAACAAAAAAAACCCCTTTCTGAAACTTCTTTGGAGGTTACCAAGGTCAGAAGGAAGGGGAGTCATTCACTGACTAGAGGGTAGAAATGTGTTAACTTGGGTGAAAGGGAAAGCAATAGACAACAGGGAGCTTGGCAGAAGTATGAAGAAGGCAGGGGAAGACATGGGAAGGAGTGCAAGAGTTAAAGGGAAGAGAGTACATACTGCTGTACACACAATCCTGCAGTAACAGTGAGCTCTGGTAGCTCAGTGGTTACGAGCTGGGTTGCTAACCTCAAGGTCAGCAGTTCGAAACTACCAGCTGTTCCATGGGAGAAAGATGAGGCTTTCTGTTCCTGTAAAGATTTACAGCCTCGGAAACCCTGTACAGGGTCTCTATGAGTCTGAACCGACTGCACAGCACATAACCACATGGATATATACACAGGCTGAGTGGGTGTGGGAGGGAGAGTGGGAGTGCAGGGCAGTGAATTACTTCATAAAGCTCTTCCACCCATACTCTTTGTAACTCCCACCAAGCATCATTTTTGCCCTGCTGGGTCTGGATAAAGAAGATGGGAGAAAATGCTTATATAATTCACTTGTGTGTATTTAACAGAGTTAATTATGACTGTAAAAACTTGGAACTCTAAGTATAAAATGAACCACCTCAGAAGCAGGAGGGGGAGAATCTTACTACCATTAAAGAAGAGTCAGGAGCACAGTGCATCCTTTGGACCCCGAGATCCACACACACTGAACCTCCCTGACCCTGAGACAGAAGGCTGTGACAAGGGAGGAGAAGCAGAGGAGCGGCTGCAGCAGAACCAAGAGTCAGGGCAGAAACCAAAAAGTGGGCTTCCCAGTCCCCAGAGCATGTAAGCTGAATGACTTTGGGAAGGAGGCTTGTTTGCCTAGTGGGGTGCCTTTAGGCATTTAACTAGGAGAGCTAAGTCTGCCAACCCACAGAGCTAGAGCTGAGCGTCTTTAGGCTCAGCATTTTGATGGAGTAGTGCACCCTGTGGGCATTTATCAGAAGTCATAAAAGAGGCTTTGCAGTATTGCCTGAGCAGGGCAGAGGCAAGGGCAAAGGGCTGATGGCCAGAGACAGATATGCCTATGGGCATGACAAAGGAAAGACTATCCTGACTGGAAGAACTGTGCCCTAAATGTTTCTGAATTGTAACCCATTAACTTCCCTAACAGGAGCTCTGTAGTTCTGTCAGATAAACACTGAACTGCTAACTGCAGATGGGGGTCCAAATCCACCAGCTATTGTGTAGGAGAAAGATGAGGCTTCCTGTTCCTGCAAAGACTTGCAGCCTCGGAAACCCTACACAGAGTGCTATGAGTCTGAACCAAATCGATGGCACTTAACAACAATAACTGCTTCCCTAGTAAACCCTGTAACTGCGAGCATGGTGTCAAGAGTTCTGTGTGGCCGTTACAATGAATTTTCGAACCTCACTGAGTAGAGTTCTGTGAGAAGGGTAGTTTGGTGTCTTTTTTTAAAAAATAGGGAATATATACACAAATTCAGAAAGGTTTGACAGAGGATATCTGTACATAGATTTTTAACCTTTGCTGTAAACATATCCATGGATGTGGTGAAGAGTACAGGGGGCAAGGTTATGAAAACCTCTTAGACATGCCCAAACACTTTGAGGGAATGAGTCGCTGGGCCTGGGGCCTCAGTATAGCATAATCCTCAAAGACAATGTTCTATATCCTACTTTGGGGAGTAGTGACTGGGATCTTAAAAGCTCATAAGTGGGCATCTAAGGTGCAACTACAGGTCTCTCTCTGATAGGAGGAAAGAAGAGTGATGAAAATTGAAGACACTTGGAAACAATTAGTCCAACAGAATGTGTGAACCTTAATCTCTACAACCCTGAAACTATAAAAGTTAAATGGTGCCCAGCTCTGAAGGGGATTACATTAGAATGTCCTGGATAGAGTGGGAGAAATTGTGGAACAAAACTCAAAATCATAAACAAGACAAGGCTTACTGGTTAAACCGAGACTGGCAGAACACCAACACTATGGCTCTCAGTTACCGTTCAGGTCTGGAAACGAATGCCACATCAAACATATGAAGCTGGCTCAAGGGAGAACTGGACAGAGTTTCCTGTGTGTTGTCATTCAGTGCTTGATCATTGTAAGCAGTGAGTGTGGCCTGGTTTAGCTATCTCCTCACTTGCCATCAGGAGTTTCTTGACATGGTGGTCCCACCTCAGCTCATCAGTTATCACAGGCTCTGTCCGGCCTGCTGAATCCTATGGTGATGCTCTAGTTCTCAGGGATCTCTCCAAGCTCTGTCTCCTTCCTGCTCTGTCTGGTCTGCTGCCCCAAGTTTCTGTCCTGTCTCTTCTCATGACCCCTCTGGATACACACTTGTCTCTTATTATTCATACCTCTCTCACCTGCAGTCCATAGGTTAGTACCCTCTCTCCTGTAATCAGCCTGGGTTCAGTGCCCTGGGTTCCAGCAGGTTCAAGATGATATTCTATGTGGTGACAATGATTAATGACACTAACTAACAAAAGAGCAGAGGCAGGCTGGTGGGGCACAGAGGGAAGTTACTGCTGTTACTTTTTATTTGGTTGGATGAGTGTCTGGAGACCAACTTTTGGTACTAAAAATACTTGATTCAGATAGAGCCAGAACAGAAGACTGAAGTCTCTTATGTTTCCTCCCAGAATTCCATACCTCACTGTAGACTGAAAATTTCTACTTACTCAAAGCCTCAATATGTTTACAAGGAGTTACTTATATGAGTCAAAATTTGAAGATAAAGAACCATCTGATCCTGGAAGAAACATATCAACTATTGTGGCTTTTGGTTCTGTGACTGGATGATCTTTCTTGAATTCATCATCTATTCATCTTTCTCTTCTCTCTCCTCTCCCATTAAGTTTTTGACCCCTGAGGACAGTGATCAAGATTTATAAGAAATCTTCAGTAGCTATAGTCATTTAGGCTGGGTTCACAACTGCAGGATAAAAAAAAAAATGTTTTCCCTGAAAGGGACTAACTCATCAGAATGAAGAGATGAAAGAGACATAAGATACGTGGCTGTTTGTCATTTACTATTACCTCATCTGATCCTGGCAGAAACACATCAACCATGGTGACTTTTGGTTCTGTGACTGGATGAACCAGCAGAGCACTGCCTAAAAAATGGAGAAGAAATGAGTTGAGAATCATAATAAGAGGCCTGAAGACATCATTTCAATTGAATTGAGAGTTCTTGTGGTCTTAACCCATTATCATTGTGTCCATTCCCACTCATAGTGATCCTATGAGGCTGTAAATCTTCACAGGAACAGAAAGTCTCATCTTTCTCCAAAGGGGCAACTGGTTTGAACACCGATCTTGTGGTTTGCAGCCCAATGCTTAACTCACAGTGTCACTCAATTGTGAACTTCTTGAAGGTTGAGACTATATGATGAGTTAGTTGTTAGAAAGAAGCAGGTATCTTATCATTACTTGGCATGAATCAATCCACTTAGGTATAGTAAGATTGTAGAGATACTAATACAGTCTATGGTAGTTGTACTTTGGGTATAATTGCAAATATATGACTTCACTCTTCAACACTCATGGCAGCAGCAGTCAAGAAATCAAACAATGTATTGCATTAGGCAAATCTGCTGCACCAGACCTTTTTAAAGTGTTGAAGAACAAAGATGTCAGCTTGAGGACTACGGTACACCTGACCCAAGCCATGGTATTGTCAATAACTTCGTATGCATTCGAAAGCTGGACAGTGAATAAGGAAGCCCATAGAAGAATTGATGCTTTTGAGTTATTGGTGTTGGAAAAGAATATTCAAAGTGCCATGGGCTGCCAAAAGAACCAACAGATTTGTGTTGGAAAAAGTGCAGCCAGAGTGCTTCTTGGAGGCCAGGATGGCCAAACTTCGACTCTCATACTTTGGACATATTGTCAGGAGGGACCAGTCGCTGGAGGATGTTTGGTAAGGTGGAGGGTCAGAGAAAAAGAGACCCCCCAGTGAGATGGATTGGCAAAGTGGCAGCGTCGATGGACTCAAGTGTGGCAACAATTGTGAGGTTGGCCCTGGACTGGGTAGTATTTTGTTCTATTGTACATAAGGTCGCTATGAGTCAGTACTGACTTGATGGCTCCTAACAACAACATGTGCCCAGTAGTTGGAATGTGCCATTGTGTCTCTCCAAGTGCTTCACTTTTTGCTGTGAATGTCTATGATGACGGTGAGCCCACAGCTTTTATAAAGGAGTGTTGTCAGTGTGGATCCTCATATCCTCTTGTTTGACAGTTATTATTGGGAAGGTTATAGATTCTCTTAAAGGCAAATTGATTTATTAATTTTGCTTTGACCTTGGTGTACCATATGTATGTAAAATTCACCCACTTATGAATTCATTCTTTTACTTATCAAATATTTATTGAGTGCCAGACACTGTGCTAGACTCTGGAGATATAGTAGCAAATAGGATAAACACACCCCTGCTTTCTTGGAATTTATAGCCAGTGAAGACAGATCCTGAACAAGTAATTATGTATTATTTAGAGTTACAACAAATACCAAGAAGGCAAAAGCACAAGAAGGAATGAGAATCAGTAGTAAGAGGAACTGACTTTGACTAGAGTGAGTAGAACTAGGTATAAGGAAGGAAGGATTGGTCAGGGACGGTTTCTCCAAGGGAAGTGTCTATTAAACTACGCCTAAAGGGTTGAATAGAGACTTAAAGAGCTAGGTTTTTTGTTTTGTTTTTTTAAACCCAAAATATTTTGAGGTTCTTCTCATTGTTTAGAACGATGTTTAGAACATTGTTTAGAACAACAATAAATTAGGTTTATCTTTTGGGCAAGCAGCAAAAAAGCACAGTGGGGAGTAGATGCCAAGCCATTTGAAGATCATGGAGGAAAGAAGCTGAACAAACAAGGACCTTCCTCCAGAGTCAACAGTGGCCTGAATTTGGACTTCTAGCCACCTAACTGTGAGAAAATAAATTTGTTTGTTGAAGTCACCTATTTCAGATATTTCTGTTATAGCAGCACTAGATAACTAAGGTACTCTTGTTAAAGAAAAAGTCAACCAAAGAAAATACTTATTACTACATATGAAGTAAGCTCCTCTAGGTCTTGCTATATCCATTGGATTCACTTATTTTCGACTCCACCTTCCCTACGGTGCTCTCACAGGGTTTAGGAATATATTCAGAACAAGAATCCCAAATTGCATCCAAAACCAGAATGGACTTATTTGAAGTTAACAGAAAGAATATTATGAGAAGTGCTACATGACAAAAGACTAGTGCTAGGCTATCACCAACGCATACAGGTACAAAAATCTTTGAGAAGAAATTTCTTTTGTTTTGTAGCTTCCTTGGGATTCAAATTTTTTTTAGTGCTCTTATACAATATATTAACAAAAACATAACTACAGTACTTATCAAAACGACAATTACTCAAGAAATGCTCACCCAACAAGTATTCATCTTCCACACTGAAAGTCTCTAATTCATTAGGGAATTCTACCCACAGAGGCCTGGGGAAAGGAAAAAATATCTTACTTAACATTTAATGACTTATATTTTTAGTTTTATAACTCTCCATAGAAAATTGTAGGAACAAAGACTTTTTTTATGAGTCAAGATTTTATGAGCAATTGCTATGGTTGCTACCTATCTTTCTTAAGTGAAAGAGCTATTAGTACACATTTTCCAGGGAAGTATTAAGAATTCTGGCATCCGCAAGTTTCCTTCTGATTGTTGAGCACTAAATACAACAATGATCGGCACAATCAGAACTTTGCACAAGTCCAAAGGCCTAACGTGTTTAATGTAAAACAAATTAAATGTCTGTAAACCCATATTTTATGATGATGATAATTCTGAGGCATTTCTGCATGCTTTCCCAATCTTTGAAGCAGTACTTATTTAAATGAAAAGAACTAGCTTTTTCAAGCAGACAACACTTTGAAGGACAGAGAAGCTTCTGTGTGTTCTTGTTTTGATTGTTGCTATTGTTGTATACAGCTATCTATGAGCTATTTCAACTTGGAAAAATAACGAAACTTTCATTATAAATGTATTGGATCTCAAGTTAATGGTTATAATATTTTTCTTTCAATAACATGAGGAAACTATATTTTTTAATAAGAGAAATTTATGATATTTATTTACTAGCCTTGTAGGAATATATTCCTTTCCTATTGAGTGTAACACAGCAAGTGGTCTCCCTGGCTGAAGTCTCGAATCACCAAGGAAACTTCTAACAAATACAGAATCCACCCAAGGAAAGTCTCGGTAGATTTGGATGTAAGGCCTTGGAATCCGTATTGTGGAAAAGCTCCCCAGATAATTCCGATCTGGGTGGTTTAAGAACACTGATCCAGAAGTCTTGGTGTATTATGTATGTCTCTGAGTATAATGTTCTCTAACCTAGAAATTTGTTGTTTTACACCCTGCCTTCAGAATAGAATCAAACATAATTTACACACCAGGGAAAATATTCACCTTAAACTTGGAAGTCTTTCAAGAAAGTAAGGCGGCACAAGAGGCACTCACGCATCTCTGCCAAGAAATTTGGAAGACAACTATCTGGTCGACTAATTGGAAGAGATCCATATGGGATTTATGCCCATTCCAAAGAGAGGTGATCCAAGAGAATGCAGAAATCATGGGACAATCTCTTTGATATCTCATGTGAGTCAAGTTTTGCTAAAGGTAATACAGAAACGGCTACAATCATACATTGACAGAGAACTTCCAGAGGTTCGAGGTGGATTCAGAAGAGGCCGTGGAACGAGAGATATCATTGCTGATGTCCGATGGATCTTGGCTGAAAGTAGAGAATACCAGAAAGATGTTTACCTGTGCTTTATTGACTATGCAAAGGCTTTC